TTTTTTTTTTTTTTTTTTTTAAAGACCAGTATTGTTTGTTTTTACCATAGGTCCCTGGGCTGTATAGCCTCAGGTTCTTGGTCATCCAAGCAGTGTCAGATATAGGTTCCTTCTCATGGGTGGGCCTTAGTTCAAACCGGATATTAGTTGGTTCTTTGCACAAACTTTGTGCCACCATTGCATTAACATGTCTTGTGGCCAGGACACCCTTGTCGATCCAAGGGTTTGTGGCTGGCTTGGTGTTTACATTTCCTTTGGGTGGTGTGCAGAGTGCCTTTCTGTACCAAAGACACTAGAACATAGGGGTGAAGGCTCTATGTAGGCACCAGCTTGATGTTCAATGAGTTGTGTAGATATCATTTTCAGCAATGAGGTCTTGCCATCAATTCGTGGAGATAAAGCTATAGTCTTGGCAACAGCCCGAGTTGTTTAGGGATTCCCATGGGATTTCCTTTGGCCAACAACTCAATTAGATATAACCCAATCTTGGTACTGGAAGCTCATTTGGTGACAAGAGATGGTCCGTTGGGACTCTGTCTCCCTATTATTTGATGATTTCATTTAGATCACTTTATATATATGTGTATATTTTAGGAATCTTTTTCTGTATTAGGTTTCCACACTACCCCTCAAATAGCCCTTAACTTTGTCCATCTCTCCTCCCTGTATCCCCTCATTCCTACCCCTCTTCTCTCCCCCTCCCCTTGATCCTCCCATTCCAGCCCCCAACACCCGCCCCTAACTATCTATTCTATTTTCCTTTCCTAAAAAGATCTATCTGTCCTCCTTAGTCCCGTACTGTTTACCTACCCTCTGTGGTTTTATGAACTGTAGCTTGGTTATTCTTGACTTTACAGCCAATGTCCACATATAAGGAAACACATACCATGTGTGTCTTTCTGGGTTTGGGATACCTCACTCGTGATATTTTTTCTCTAGTATTATTTACCTGCAAATTCCGTGATTTCATTTTTTTAGCAGCTGAGTAATACTTCATTGTGCAAATGTACCACGTTTTCTTTTATTTTTTTATCTTTTCTTTTCTTCTCTTCTCTTTTCTTCTCTTCTCTTTTCTTTTCTTTTCTTTTCAAGACAGGTTTTCTTTGAGTAGTCCTGGCTGTCTTGAAACACACTCTGCAGGCTGGCCTCAAACTCAGAGATCTGCCTGCCTCTGCCTCCCAAGTGCTGAGATTAAAGGCATGTGCCACCACACCCAGTTGGGTTTTTTTCTTAATTAAATCATTTGAAATGGGAAGGTCCACTTCTAATTGGGATCTTTTAAGGTTGGGAAGATAAACCTTGAATCTAGATCTTTTGAGGTGGGAAGATCCACCTTTAATCTAGTTCACACCTTCTGCTGGCAGCCTATAAAAGGACATAGAAGACAGTTCTTTTCTTTGCCTGTTTGTTTTTACCCTCAGTAGCAAGTCCACTGGCATTAGAGCCCACTTCTTTGGGATCCCAGTGTATACTGACAACCAGGGGAGACATCTAGCTTCTTGGACTGAACAACTACTGGATTCTTGGATATTCCAATCATAGGCAACCATTGTTGGATTAGCTGGACCACAGCCTGCAAGTCATCCTAATAAATCAGATCTTGAGGTATATCAATTCTCATTTTTTTTTCCTGAGGCACTGCCACACTGATTTCCATAGTGGCTGTACAAGTTTGCACTCCCATCAGCAATGGATGAGTGTTCCCCTTACTTCACATCCTTGCAGCATGAGCTGTCACTGTTTTATTGATCTTAGTTATTCTGTTGGGTATAAGATGAAATCTCAAAGTAGTTTTGTTTTGAATCCTGATGGCTAAAAATGTTGAACATTTAAGTGTTTCTCAGCCATTTGAGTTTCCTCCTTTGGTAATTTTTTTTTTTTTTTTTAGATCTCTACCTAGTGTTTTAATTGGGTTATTTGCTTTCTTGATATCTATTTTTTGAGCTCTTTTTATATTTTGAATATTATCCCTCTATCAGATATGTAGTTGGTAAAAATCTTTTCCTATTCTGTAGGCTGCTGCTTTGTCCCAATGACAGTGTGCTTTGCCATTCAGAAGCATTTCAGTTTTATGAGGTCTCATTTATTAATTGTTGATCTTACTGCCTGTGTTAATGGTGTTCTAGGAATTGAGAATGAAATTTAGAAACTTTAACTCCAGTTTCTCATTTGCTACAACACTAGTAACATGACATGGACAGGTTATAGATTAGTTTGGATATTGAACTCATGTGGTCAGTATGTATGAATTAAGTATCAGTTGTGTGCAGTGGGATTCTGTAATTGTAATCTCAGTAGGAAGAAAACATGGGAAAAACCTGCATAGGAGGTTTGTGTAGGAATACAAGCTTGCTGTTGACTTACAAGCTGGAAATTTTGTTTGTGTTCTGACAAATAAAGTTTGCCTAGCAATCAGAGGGTGGAGCTAGCCACTAGTTAACCATTGATGCCAGGCGGTTGGCTCACACCTTTAATCCCAGAATTTGGGAGGTGGTGACAGGACTATAAAGCATGTAGAGACAGGATCTCTCAGCCCCTATTCGGTCAGAGGATCCAGAGAGGTAAGAAGTCCGAGTGGCTGCTCCTTTGCTTCTCTGACCTTTCAGATTATTACCCCGATATTTGACTCCTGGTTTTTATTGATAAGATTTAATAGATTCATGCATCATGGAATAGTTAAAGGGCAGAAAGGAGGAGGGTGAGAAGTTTCCTTTTTGGCATGCAGCTGGCCATGGTTAGGGGTAAGGAGGGAGTGGTAACTGAGCTCCCCCCTCCTCTCAGGTCACTTTAGCTTGTGTGATTGACATAAAACTACCCAGCACAGTTGGGAACGGTGCCATAGCCTGTTAGCCCAGCACACGTGAAGGGTTGTGAATTCCTATTATATGAGACCCGCTCAAAGACAGAAACAAAATAACAGAACCCGGGCTTGTACTCTGCATATGTCGGCACCCCCATTTAACTTTTTTTTTTTTTTTAAATTGTATTTTCATTGGCCAGGCATCTCCTAGGGAAGCCCCTCAAACAGCTTAATCTGAGCTCTGGACCCAGTTCCCGTCAAGCAAAGACCTGAACAAAGCTGGAGGGAACACTCAACTTGCATCTGGGGTAGGTGAGAGCAGAAGCCTCATCTCCACAAGAGGCCAGGGCCTCCTTCCTCTCACTTCCCACCCGGGAGCAACACTAAGAACCTCCGCCTCCGCCTCGGGCTGGGACGGGGCGAGCCAGGGGACCGAAGCACGCACGCGCGAGACGCGGAGCGACGCACGCGCGGCAGGCGGAGGCAGTGTCATGGCGTCATCACCGTGCGACCTTTCTTCCGGGAGAGGAGCGTCCGCCGTACTGAGGTATAGTGCAAAGCTGGGTCCCGGCGATTGTCGTGCCCCTGTGACGGTCCCCTTCCCCGCTCCCCGGGATCGCGTCCATCCTGTGGCCGACCGGGAGGAGCCAGCGGGGCCCCGGCGCCGCTAGCGTGGTCCCAGCAGGCCCCCGAGCCTGTCCGTGCGGCTCCCAGGCCCTGCCTGGCTTTCACCCTGGTTTCGCTCTCAGCCCTGCCTTTTTTTTGTGCTTCGATTGTTAACGTTGCCTTTTAAGGGTTGAAAAGCGAGGAGTGAAAACCCCACGCCATCGGTTTCTGGCTGATTTCAAATCTAAACGGAGAAAGGCCAAGATGGAAGGTGGAAAGAGTAATTTCTTCTTCATGCAGTCCTTACTGTTCTGCCCAAGATCGGAAAGCTTACGGTGGCAGTGTTAGCTCATTTGAGATAACGGCTTCCTTAATTTTGTTTTTCTTTTTTTGACACTGGGTTTCTCTGTGTAGCCCTGGGTGTTCTGAATTCTCTCTGTAGTCCAGGCTGGCCTCGAACTCAGAGTCCCACCTCCTTCTGCCTCCCAAGTGCTGGCATTGAAGGCGTGCGCCACCCTGCCGGGCCAACAACTTTCTGCTGTAGTTGATTATGTCAAGAAAGTAATTTTTCTTTATAGTCTGGAAGAAGTTCAGCACGATTCAAATTTCTGTTAGAAGATAGGTTTAATGACTTAAAATTTGTTGATTACAGTTTAGTTTTGGCTTGGAAAAGGTGTAATTGCCCTGGTGTGATGTTCATAGTCTAGTTATTAACTTGTTTGGGCTAAGAGTACACAGAACCAAATATCAACCATACACTTTTTATTTATAAATAACAGCTAGGCCTTATTAAACTTTAGAAAACTACTCGTGGTTGGTAGAATCGACAGGCTGCATTGTTTTGTTACGAGATACGATGACAGTGTGAACAGTCTTTTTAAAAAAAGTAATAGAAATGCAATCCCTCAAATCAGAGATGTTGTAGATGCTTTCCAATACATGTAACGACACAATTTTCTCTTGTTTTTAACTTTTTAAATGGCTATGTATATAACAGTAGCTCCTGTTTCCAAGCATTCAATCCTATATATGGCTCTAAATATTCTACATTGGATTAAACTTGGTTATTTTCATTTTCATAAAGCAATAACTAATGTTATTAGCCAATGTTTTGAGTATTCTACTAATGGAGTACAGCTTTAAGAGTTTTACCAATTTATTTACTTAATTTCCATCACAACCTTATTATTATCATTTCTTTAACTGCAATCAACAAGTTTCATGCTTTGGAAAAGGTAGTTTTTGCTGCTTTCTAACTTTAATTCTGAGCTCATTGAAGTAAGCATTGAATAGAATTTGTTTCCAGTGTGACCCCAGTCTTAAGCTGTTTCCTTATTGTGTTTAAAATATTTCTATTTATTTATGTGTATGTGCTCTTCCTGTGTGTATGCCACATGTATGTGGGTGGCTGGAGGTACAGGTGGTTGCGAGCTTCTCAGGCTGACTACTGGAAACCAAACCTGGATTCTCTGGAAGATAAACAAGTGCTCTTAACTGCCGAGCCGTCTCTCCAGCCTTGTAATTCATGTGGATTGTGTGTTTGTGTGTGATGTTTTCCTCCATCGTTGTCCACTTTGTTCATTGAGGGGCCCTCCACAATGTTTCTTATTGGACCTAAGACTCACTGACTTCAGCCAGTCTAGCTAGGCTGCTAGGTGAGTCCCTGTTTCTCCCTTCTGAGTGTTGGGCCCCCTCCATACTGGCCCACATTTATGAGGGTGCAGGAGATCTGAATTCCAGCCCTCAAGCTTGGGGTTGGGGTAGGTGCTTTATCCACTTAGCCATTTCTCTAACTCCTGTGATGTGTTTTTAGAGGTTAATACATTTTTGAAAAGGAAGCCTTATATATTTTCAGATTTTACTGAAAATTACAGCTAACACTGGCAGAATCACTGTATGACCAAGACAGTACACACACACACACACACACACACACACACACACACATATATACATATATAATATGTTTCACCATTATTTTCTAAGGTACTGCTGTATAAAACATAATTATAGGAATAGAATTATGGTGCTCAACCTGCAAATAGCGCTCTTGTTCCAAAAATCAATTAAGTATATGTTGGATTTTCCTTCTCTCACTAATGTGGTAACTATGTGGAACTGTAATTGCTATAGCAATGGAAACAGGTTCCAAATATACATCACCATATATTTTTCTCCCAAATCCATGTAGTAACTTCTAATATCTGTAACTCCAAACTGTGACATGATGTTAAGATTCTCCAAACTTTGGTCCCAGTTAACTGTGTGTGTGTCTGTGTGTGTGTGTGTGTCTGTGCGTGTGTGCATGTGTGCGCACATTAATGATGTTTATTATGGTGCTCATGATGATGAGCACTATTGGCATAGATTCAAGTGACTCTTGTGATCTTGAGAGTAAATTACATAGTATGTAGTGTACTTCTTAAATTACACAAGATACTCATCACCTCAGGACTCTGGCCTTGTACCAACTTCTTTTTTCTGTTCATTTATTCCTTATATGATGGATTCCTATCTCATGACTTTAAATACCATCTGTTCATTGACAATTTCCAATTTTTTATTTAAGCAGTGACCACTCCCCTCAACCCTAGACTCCTTATACTTAGCTTCCCACTCAGTACTTTGATTTGATGACTCGATAAACATCTGAATACTGTTCTGCTCCCACAAGTCTGCCCATCTTGATTTTAGGGGAGATTTTTTTTTTTTTTTTTTTTTATAACAGGTCTCACTACATAGTCCAGCTGGCATTGAACTCAGGATCCTCTTGCCTCAGATTTTCAAGTGTGCACCCCCATGTCAGTTCATGTCTTAGCAGCATCTCCACTCTTGGTTGTTTTACCCCTATTCTCACAACCCACAAACAGCCCACAAGTGGGTTCTGCTACCTTTGCCTACAAAATCCAACCCAAACTGGACTGCTATTCCCCACCTTCAGTTCCGTCTGCCTAGTTAAGTAGATAGCTGGTGCTGTCATTTCATCTAAACTGGTTCAACAACCTCCACAGTATCCTAGCTTTCCTCTGTCCTGTAGAGCAGCAGCCAGAGGGTACCTCTCCTGCAGAGAACTTTCATTGTTTTACTTGCCGATCTCTTCCCTTCTCGCCCTGCCACATCTCCCAGTCAGCTGCATTTTCTAATATATTTGTTAATTCTTTGAGAATTTCATGCATGCCCACGATACATTTTAATCATACTCATCCCTACTCCTCCATACCCCTCAGACCTCCCCTCCCCTGACCTTGTCAGTTGTTTGAAGGGTGCTTTAGCAAGCCTTCTTTCCTGGGATCCACAGCTGATCCTGTCTTGGATGACTGGTCCAGCTCCAGAATTGTGGTGGTGTGTGAGGGAAAGATAGGAGTTAAGGCTGAAGGACGAGAGGGCCAGACTTTGAAATTGCTTTCCTGTTTGTCCTGAAAGGGTAGGGAGCCATTGCAGGGCTCAGGGAGGCTGAACATCAGTACCTAGTTAGGGCACTGCGGTGAAGACTCCCTTCCCGCCACGGTCCTCTGCTGGCTTTGTCTCCTTGACTCCACTCTGAAGGGTGCTTTCTTTACACATCGGGGTCTTGTTATGTCTGCTATCCCCCCACCCCCACCCCCGTGTCATTGTAACTTTGTGTTTCTGTGATTATTTGATTAAGGTGTATCATCTGCACTCAGCATTAAGCACCTTATAGACACTAGTTTTTTAAGTAAAGAAGTACCTAGGATATATTGTTTATGCTGCTCTTCAGTTTTCATTCCTGACTTATCTTGGAACTCTTTCTAAACTGGACTTCAGTGCTTTTTCACTGCTGCAGAGTGCTTGATTGGATGATATAGCATCATTTATTTAATCAGTCTGTATTAGTAGGCATGTATGTTGTTCATTGTCTTAAGGTTTTGAGAACTATTGTAGTGGATGCACATTAACATTTTGTTTCATGTAAATTAAATGTACATTTCTGAGAAGTAAATTTACTCTCCTGTGCCAGCTGTGTAAGTGGTCCAGGCTCACCTTCTCTTCATCCTGCAGTGCACGGCTGAACCTCTTCAGCACTCAGTGTGTGGTGATCTGCTGTCAGACTTCACTGTAATAATCCACGCAAATCCTTGTTGTGCTCTTTAGTTTATGAAGGCTGCTTTTCAAAAAAGTAATTTCATGTTTTTAATTACCACGTACTTCAGTTTGTGTCCTTAAATAACAGACATTATATATCTATAATGCCATTTTCATATGCAACAAAATTATCTATAATTTTGATAATGAACTTTACAGATCATTAGACCAACTAGATTATTTTATGAATGAAAAATTGGAAGCCCAGAGAGATTTAGTGATTTTTTTTTTCTGTAGGTGACAGAGTCAGTGTTCCAGCAGGCAGCACTGAAAGCTCAAGGGTCTGTTTCCACTACCCCCCAAACCAACCTGGTACCCCCCCAACCAACCTGGTACCCCCCAAACCAACCTGGTACCCCCAAACCAACCTGGTACCCCCCCAACCAACCTGGTATCCCCCACCAAACCAACCTGGTACTTCCCCCAAAACCAACCTGGTAC